ATAATGAATTTGAAGCTACAACAAAATAATGTGAATATTAACCAACAAATGATAATATTGTTATATATTTCCTTGGAAGTTTATGATTGGACTTATATATAATCAACAATCTATAAACATGGATACTAAAATAAAACTCACCAAAAACAAAACAAATTGATTCTTAGTGAGCTTTTTTCTTGTATATAGTTTTTAGTAAGTTTATCAGCAGTAATTCAGTGTTAAATAATCAAGATATAATTAAATTTTGGAAGTAATAAAGTGATATGCAAGTTGAATTAAAATTAATGATATGCAATAAAAAATATATATATAGATTGTTAAATCAAAAAATTTGACAAGATATCATTTTATATATTAAAAATAGAATAATATACATAATTGTAGTAAAATATTAACAACCAGAAGAAAGTTGACCAGAAAAAGAAATGAAATGTAATTTTAAAATATATAAAGAAATGGCGAATGAAAATTTTGATAAAACATAATTTAAAAAAAAAAAAAAACATAATGATATGCAATAATAGAAGAATATTTTAAGCAGCTAGATTAATGACAAAAAAAATATTAACATAAAAATCTATTCACGGGTTAAATACGTAGTACATAGTTTTAAGAAATCATTTTGTTAACAAGAATAAAATGATACCAATTTGTTGGTGAAATATACAAAAACATATAGATATTGTCAAATTTTAAAATGCGCACATTAAAATACTTATATGGCTAACAGGCTCTTTCATAATAAATTCATTGTAGTATTTCAAATTTATGTTTTATAATTAAATGCAGTTTAATTTAAGAATAGTTATTTAAAATTATTGTGCATGGCATAGGAACTAACCTAGTAGGAATACATGATAAAATCTGTCAAAAGTTGAATTAATATTTTATTTAACGTATTCCATAGTATATTTCTTTCTTTCTCTTTGGTTTTTCTACCAAGTAAAATCTTTTATATTAAATCAAAGGTGGATTTATATGTAGTAAAACCACTAACCAACCAAAAGTTTTACAATGATTTTCTTATTAACAGGGACTACAACGAGAATAAAGAAATGATCTGGGCCTTCAGGGCTTTAGATTTTCACATCACAATTAGATGAACCACAGATTTCGCTTGTTATTATTTATTCATTTTTTTCACATTCACACTCCATCTTTTAAGTCACCATCTCACCAAAAACTTATTTAACTTTTTTAACATTGCACATTACACTCTAAATCAAATTAGTGACACGCCCAAAAATCATTGCTTTGTTGATTGATAAAAATAAAATAAATGTAATCAACCGAAATTATTCATGTGTTTAGAGAGTAATCGGAGTAGGTAATTGCCATTATTATTGCTGTCCCTATACAACTATCTAATATAATGCATTTTCAGAAAATTAATGACTACAATATATTGGTAGTCTTTGTACTTTTTTTTAATCTAGAGCGTCAATATCTAATTCTGCTGCTATTAAACGCTATATCAATATACAATATTAAAACAGACATTAAGAATGACACGTGTCAAATCCTAGTGCAATATTTTGCCGTCCAAAACCGTCCTCACTATTTTCTTGCCAAAAACGTTTAGAATAAAATTTGTTATTAATCTTTTTATATCCTCTATATATACACAAGCAACTAAATTTTTATTCTAAATAGGTTATAAGTCGTATCTTTTGTTGCCAAAATCTTATAAAAATATTTGTATTACTACCTCCGTTTTTTATTATTTGCAACAATTACTAAAATTGGGTGTTTCGTATTATTTGCAACAAACAATTTTATTTCCTTTTGTAGTAAGTTTTATAATGGTAAGATTACCATATTACCCTTATAAAAAACTGATTATGTACTAACCTACTATCTAACTATGATTAATAACCCCAAACTATTCAGATTCATCCTTCCAACCCCAATCAACCCCTGTATTTTCATTCTCACTTATTTCTCACCATCTCCTTCAACCATCTTCTTCAACCATCACCTTCAATGGCAAACACCACCACCAGTCCACCACCACCACCACTACTACCACCGTACCGATCTCCACTCTATCTTCATCTACCCATTAATTCCCCCTCTCTTTGTTCATCTCCCCTCAAATTCAACCACCACCTTCGCCGGAAGTCGCCGTCGCTGTCATGCTTGTCGTCATTGTTGTCATGCTTGTCGCCGTCTCCGCTTTCTCTCTCTTCCTTCTCCTTTTGTTTCAGTCTTGTCACTAAAGCTCAAATTTGAAGGCTTTATGGTCAAATTTAACCATGAAAATTCTAAATCTAGAATTTTAATGTTAAATTTGACCAAATAAAGCTTTAATTGATGATAGAGAAGGTAATGGTTTTTCACTTGTATCTTTGGGTTGGTTTTTTTAGGGGCGGAATTCATGGTGTTAGATTTTTCCGGTTGGAGGTGGTGGTTTTGGGGTGGGTACGACTATTTGGGGAGGGTAAGATCGGTATTTTGAGATGGTTGGTGAGGTTTTTTGGAAGGGTTTATTTGGTTATGGGTGGTTTCTTGGTGGTTTACGAGGTGGGGCGGATGTCGGGAAAAGTAAACTCATTTTAATATTGTCTTTTCCTCAAAAGATCGCAAGATTGCTTTGACTATTGAGCTAACTCTCTTTACTCTTTTTAATATCATCTCATCCTATCTTATCCCCTATTTTGTTTGTTTTTCTTTTCCACTTCCCACTATAAGTGCCATAGGATTGGAATATAAAACATTATTATTATTGTAGTAATAAGATACGTATTGATTTTTAAGACAATTTCAATAATATATACAACTGTAATTTACGCAATTTTTTTTGGTTAAATTCGTGCATCGTACGGACACTTACCTAGTATTTTATAAAATCGTTGTCATAAGAGTTGGAGAAACTCGCTGTTGTGGTTTGGGTAAATCAGAGTGTCTTTGGAGAGCAGTGCAGTTTCCAAAAATGACTAAACTGCAGTTTGTGGTTTAAGTGAGATATATCTCCAAATATTTTTACATAAAATCGAAAAATACAATTTGCGGTTTAGGTCATAAACCATCATACAATAAGCCGTTAAACTATTTTAATACAATATATATTTATAAAAAATATGCAAAAGATCTGAAAAATAAGATGTAATCTTTAACTATTAGTTAATCCAAAGTAAAAGAAAAAAAAATTATTAAGAAAATATTTGAATTGTAAATTAATAACTAGAAAATAAAATTAAAATTATTAAGAAAACTATTTGTGATTATAAACAATGTGGTTAAACCACTAACCACACCGCACCAAACCAAATTTTGCGGTATTCAAACCGCAATTTCGATTTGGTGTGATTTGAGATCCAAACGGTATCAAACTGGACCGCAAACAGCCCTAGTTGTGGTAGTGAGTTGGTTTACCCGCCGATGGGTCACCGGCGAGTCCGTTGCCGACAATTTCCACCATTGTTTTCAGTCCATCCCCTAATTGCAGAATTTCCACGGGTTAGAGATGAGGAATCCCCTAGATTTTGTTGAAGGTTAAAATAAACATGAGATGCTTGGTTGATTAGAGCAAATTTACTAGAAATATTAGATGTGACACTACAAGAAAAAAGTTGATTACCAATGGGTTGCTACCGACAGCCAGGTTAAACTGTTGGTAAATTAAATGTTAACAATGGTTTTGATAGCCACAAAAAAATTTCTAATGGCCAAAAAAATTTACCCATGGCTGATTAAAACAGTTAGAAAAATTTACCAATGGTTCAAGCCGTTGGAAAGCCAATGGTAAATTACTTTTTAAAAAAAAAAATAAAATAATTTCAAATTTGAAAATATTGTTTAGAATTTTAAAAATTTATTTAAATACTTTTTCGTCAGTTTAGGCCGCCAAAAATATATTTTTTCTTTTAAAAACAAGATAACCTTAAATTAATTTACCACCGTCCTTAAAGGCCCCAACACCTTTCTGACGGTTTAGGTGGTCGTCGGTGGAATTTCGATGGCTAGGCCGTCGGAAATTACTAATGTATATATTCCGGCAATTGGTTGTCAAAATATTTTCGATGGACTTAATAACGGTTTGGAAAAGTGGGTTCCAACGACTTAGCTTGTCCATCGGAAATTTCATTTTTTTCTGACGGTATGATATCCAATGGCCATTTACTTATGGAAATCTATTTACCAACTTTCTCACCTTTTTCCAACTGAATTTGGCCTTTTTCTTATCGTGTGGCACCCTCGTTATTATTCTACTCCTCAAGCTAAAACGAGCATTGAGCGGAGGGTTTCGAATGACTGAAGAGGATTAGTATGCTGAATAGAGGTGTGAAATGGCATTTAGTCCCCCGATAATCCTTTCAAGAGAGGCAAGCCATGCAATAAATAAAAAAATGGAAAATTTGTTAAAAATAAGCAAAGTTTTGCTCGGTCTTCAAAAATAAGCAAATCTTTCGATTAACTCACAATAAATTTATCTTTATGGGGTATTTTTTCAAAATAAGTCAAGACTTGTTAGTTTTATAGGTAACTGATTGTTTGGGTTGCTTATGCCACATGTCATAATGTAGTTGGTCTTTTTTTCAAATTTTAATTAACTATTAAAAAAAGTCATTTTAAGATAAAAACAAAAATTATATTTTAGAAACCCCTGCTACAGCAGCCCCTCTCCTCGCCCTTGGCCTGCTGACCACCTCTCGCCTTCCTCACCACCAAAACTACCATTAAATCACATCCCCACCACCAAAACCACCACTCCATCACATCCCCACGACCCCACAACCGGATCCTCTACCGTCCTTCCCCCCATCCCGACCCTCTCCTTTCCCCCTTCCAAAACGCCCCACACTCGCAAACATTTCTGAGACTATAGCAAGAGTCTTTAATCTGGTGCAATTTTACTTAACCCTATTCAAATGCTCCAATTTTGTATTCGTGAATTGAGCATCCAATTGTAGGGCTCTAGCGAATTTGTTGTTGTGGAAGAAATCAACCAAATGACTCCATGCATCAGCTGCTTTGTTATCAGCTGCTCTGAACCATGAAAAAATGTTTTTCTTGATTCTCATTCATTTCAGTATAGTATATATACAAGCATATTTAGTTAGTGTTAACCTAGGGCTAGATACGTAATTTACATGATAAACAATTACAATTAATAATATACATGTATTCTAATAGTACATAAGATATTTTCGATTTTAGCTATTGATTACCATCTCTAGAGACTTTAATATTTTACATCTTTTTTCAATTCAATAACAGTTTTAAAGTTCAAATTTGAACATATTAGATCACTTTCCAAATGTTCTTTCCCTTTGCTGAAAGGAGTGCAAGGCTTGGAGAAACTCAACTTCTCCAAATTCCGGTGCAGAAACTTGGGAGAAATATAGCTCGGTTTGGGCTAGTTGCCACATCAAATAATCACTAACCCGGAGGCGACCACCAGTCCGAATAAGCAGGTCAGGGTGAGGCGCTCCACGAGTCCATAGCTGTTTATCAAACATGGCCTCGTCGATGTCTTTGGGTTCCAACACCCCGGCCTTGACCTTTTCACAAATGTTCCTAGTAGCTTGCAATATATCTCTAGTCCCAGAATAACATATTGCTAGCATTAACTCCAACTTAATTTGGTGCTTTGTACTTGTTGCATTTTCCACTTGTTTTATAACGTCTTGCAAAGATTTAGGGATTAGCCATCTTTCTCCAATCATCGACACTTTTATTTCCCTCCTGCAATTTCATAGGAAACCAAAAAGGGAAATGGAGAAATGAAAAAAAAAAAAAATTAAATAAATAAAATAATCATTTTTCATGTATATGTTTTCTCATCCTCCTTCTTTCCTCTCTTACTCATCCTCCTTTCCTCTCTTTGGCGAAGGTGGCGAAGTGAAATTCGTGTATTTGAGGTTCAATTTCTTAACGTTAAGGTTTTTTTTTTTTTTTTTGTCAAATTCGACCATTAAAATTCCTGATCTGGAGTTTTTATAGTCGAATTTGACAATCAACACCCAAAGAAGAGGAAATTTTCGAAGGTATGTTAAATTTTTTGTATTTTTTGTTTTTGTTATTGTGTTTTTTGTTTATATTTCGATATTTTTGTTCTAAATTCATTATTTTTTTGCTTGTATTGCCTTTTTTTTTTTGTTTGTTTTTCCCGTCTATTCGTGTTGATTTTTGTTTATTTTCGTTTGATTTTGTAATATTTTGTTTATTTTCTTTTGATTTATTGTGGCCTTTTTGTTCGAATTTTGTACTGTTTTGATAATCTCTGTTTTTTCTTTCATTTTTGTTCGTTTTTTTTGTTAATTTTTTATTATTTGATGTATATTTGTATTTCTTGTTTGATGTTGTGCTATTTTTATGTATTTTTTTTTATCTTTGTTTGTTATATGTTGTTTATTTTTTGTTTGAGGTCTGTTTAATTTGTTGGGGTTTAATTTTAAGGTCTTAATGTATCTTTGTGTAAGGTGGTGGTGGGTGGTGGTGGGAAGGGGTAGTTGTTGTTGGTGCGAACGGTTGCTGTGGGGGTAAGGGGGTTGGGGAAGGGCATTTATTTTTATTTTTTTATTTTTTTTCGACTGACAGCCGTCGGTTAAACTATCTTTTACGACAATTTTTTATTTATGTCGTAATTTACGACGGTTTTAAACTGTCGTAAAATAATTACAATGACAAAATAAAAAATTGTCGTTGAAATTAGTAAAATCGTCGTAATAATTCTTTACGACAGCCAAACTATGGCAAAAATGAAATTTTGAAACGATTCTGACTGCGACAAACCTGTTACGACAATTGACTGTCGCAACTATTTTTTGCGACAGTTTTTGCTCTTTTTTACGACAAATTTTGGCTGTCGCAAAATAGCTTATTTCTTATAGTGTATTTTTTTTACAAAAATGTTAGATACAAAAAGAGAGTAAAAATACTACCTATTATTCTTTTTTCACATTTGCTATTATTTTCTGTTTTTGTAATTCACTTGGTCTACTACGACCAATGTTTGTGAATTATACATAAATAAAAAAAAGTTATAATTAAGATATTGTTTATCAAAGTTCTATGTCGACATAGGGCTTAATTTCGATGGGACACTAAAATAATAGAGGGATGTATAATTTTGTGAAAAGAAGAGTGTGTCGATAAAAAAAAAATAATAAAATAAAAAGTTAAAAGTAATTATTATCTTAACACGTAAAATCAACGGATTATATTATTGGTTTAATTGGATCATTTGTAATATATGGCTCGTAAATAGGCTACGGAAGCTTTGTAAAACCCGTAAAGTTCTAAGACCTTGCTAACATTGATATGAATTCAGTTCAAGATTCTCTTGTATTGTACCGTTTCTGTTGTGTCCTAATTTTAGTAGTTTTTGACTTCTTTAATTTCATTAATAAAATCACAAACATACACAAAAATATTACAACCGAATATGAAGAATACCTGATTCAGAAGCATTAATGGTAAATCAATGGTAGACTAAAAAAAATAATGATACATGGCCATATTTATAATTATAATTACGTGGTTATTCGTATAAGTGTAAAACTCTATTGTTAATTGGATATTCATATTAATTGTAATATTTGGTGTGTTGCTATAAGTAAAATTCTATAGATAATTTTTTTTCAAAAGAATTATAAATTATTTCATGTATACTTTTTTTATATCCTAACAAATCTATCCAACCTAATCTGGCATCTAATCTAATGTGGTGTGTTGCTATAAGTAATATTCTATTGTCAATAAGAAGATAAATTTTTTTCAAAAGAATTATAAATTATTTTATGTATACTGTTTTTTTTATCCTAAACGAATCTATCCAATCTAGTGTAATCCAATAATATCTATTTATCGCCAATGTGGCTCGACACTTGGCGAAAAACTAAAATGTCAAGTGTCGTTATCTCGTGACCTGACTGCGTGACCGGCTTTATTTATCAATGATATATGCTATAATATGATATGATATATTAGATTACTGTGGGTATGTAATTTTTAATTTTCTTATACCATCATCAATATGTACTTACTCCGTATGACTACATAAGGAGTCAAGGTTTATTTGGTTTAACAAGCTACATTTTCAAAAGTAAACAGCTATACGTAGTTAACATAAGTTGCTAAGCTTAGGGTGCTGCCACGAGTGCCACGATAATAAATAATCACCTGATAAAACTCTCCAGATTATTCTCTAAATATCTTTCAAGCTGCCCAAATAATAAATCATTGGCTTCCTGCAATTGATTCAGATGAAAATATTAGTTCATTTTACAACACAAGAGAAATGAAGCTGGATCAAATATATCTAAATCTGGTGCTAAAATTTAAATAATAAACTATCTACAGCACCCCATTTTTAAATTCAAAATCCTTTTTTTTTTCTGTAATAAATTTCATTAATTCTACCAATTATTCTATACAAGTATGATGTAATCAACATCTTATCGGTTTCATATCAACTAGTACCATATTAATTCCAATTAATTTATTAATCAATCAGTTTCATTTTCTTTTCAGTTATCGTTGCTATAAGCATATGTACGTTATCGATGAAATAACCAAAAAAGACAACAAAGGATCGGAATGAACACTCACTTGGCCTCTTTGTAGGTTTTTGAAAGAATACATAAAAGTGGTGGCAGTAGAAACACCCCACTTAAGACAAAGGTCAGCAAAGAGGGTGTTTGCTTGAAAGAAAGGATCATAATTTAGAGGTTTTCCTTGAGCTTTAAGCCATCTCCTACTTCCATCTAATATTATTGCCACGTGTTTTGGAATAAGCTCTTTTTTTAGATCAACCTCTAAATATTTTTCATAATTTTTGTGGCTCCTATTAATCACAACGGAGTAGTTCGGTTGGTTTTTTTTTGGTTGCATGCAAGCAATTGCTATACATTTCAAGGTTAGGCTTGTGCGGGAAAATAGTACCACAACCAATTAACCTTTGCATTTTCATGGGTGTGTGTGTTGTGTATGTGCGTGTTTGTGCATGTAGACTTGGGAAGAGATGGCCAATATTTAAACACTTACTTGAGCTTAAGCATATGATTGGATTGGCTTAAATTAAAGCTACAATAGTCATCGCTGAAAAAGTTGACATCTAACACAATACCATGCAAACACATTTTTGGGTCATCTAATTTTTTTTAGGAAAAATTTATGGGAATAATCCCATCTTTGGGCCGTTCGTTTTTAATAATCCCATCTTTGGGCCCCGATCTTTTTTAATAGTCCCATTTTACCTGAAATCGGCTGAGTATGTAATTTTTTTTTACAATATTAATTTACACTTGTTATTACATAATTGGTAAAAAAAAAACAAACCAAAAATTAAAATTAAATTGAAGGATTTTTTTACATTTTCTCTCTCCTCTTCATTCCCCCAGCCACCCCTTACCCCGACCTCTCGAGCCGTCGTTCCCCTACCCCTCGCGTTGGCCACCAGCGACCCACCCCTCCATTGTCGATTTTCATTTCGAAAACCCACCCCGACCGTGCAAACGAACGGAATCCCACCCAGCCAACCCAACCCCACCCCAAAACCCCATCAACCTAACCCAACCAACCTCAAAATCATTCGAAAACCCACATCTGGATTGCTCGGATTTGGGAGGGGAAGGGGTGGGGTGGTCGGGTTTGGGAGGAAAAAGGGGTGGATTGCTCGGATTTCAGAGGGAAAAGGGGTGGGATGGTCGGATTTCAGAGGGGAAGTGGTGGGGTTGTCTCATATGGAGGGGAAAGGGGTGGGTGGTCGGATTTCAGAGAGAAAGAAGGTGGGGTGGTCGGATTTGAGAGGGAAAGGCGATGGGGTGGTTGGATTTGGGAGAGGAAGGGGGTGGAGTGGTCGAATTTGGGAGTGGAAGGGGTGGGGTGATCAAATTTGGTAGGGAACGAGATGGTGGTCGGATCTATGAGGGGAAGAAGTATAATAGGCCTCCACGTGTTATGTAACCTGTTAGACCGGTTGGGACCATTAAAAAAGATCGGGGTCCAAAGGTGGGATTATTTAAAAATATCCCAAAGGTGAGATTATTAAAAACGAACGGCCCAAAGGTGGGATTATTCCCATGAATTTTTTTTTAACCAAAATTCGTTGGTACTCCGTAATTGTTTAGTACTGTGGGAGATTTATCTATAAATTATTTATAAATCTCCCACAACGAGGCTCCTCAACCTTGTCTTAATATTTCTCCGTTTTATAAAATTTGACTCATTTTTCGTTTCTTATATTTCTGAATATATATTTGATATACTTTAGCTTTACTCCATGTCTCCATTATTGCTGGAAAAATCATTTTATATATTATCTTATATTCTTTAAACCCCTCTTATCAAGCTTTAATTAAAACTCTAATTAATCTAAATATAATATATACTCCCTCCGTTCCTAAATATATATAGTTCCAAATCCTATCCAACCACTCCTTCCAAGTGGAACATTTCGGCTGGGTATGAGAAGAACCATGTTGTATCCACACTTTAATTTTGAAGTCCAAAGAGCTCTCATACTATAAATTGCAGCCATTTAAAGTTTGTATTTTGCAAATTGCAGCCATTTAACAAAACAATTTGCAAATTGTCGCCCAAGAGTACTAATAAACTATAAATTGCAACCCAATTCAATTATTTCATCGATTTGCGTGTTGAAAAATGTCCCATTAATGTTTTAGTGTTCATTTTAGTTCTTAAGGGTCCAAAATAAGCTTGGAATTGGCAACAAATTAATATAAGGGCCTTGTTTTTACCGCAAAAATTAGTTGCACACAAATCGATATAATTTATATATGCAAAATTTGGCACGCAAATCGATGGAAAATTTGAATTGGCCTGGGTTGAAATTTACAATTTATCAGTACTTTTGGGCTACAATTTGCAATTTTTTTTTTTTAAATTGCTACAATTTACAAAATACAAACTTTAAATGAATGCAATTGACAAATTTTCCTAATAAAATATGGTAGGAGTAATAGATATGTGTGGAGGCCATAAAAGGAGAAATATACTCCCTCTGTTTCCAAATTATTTTCCCATTTAACTTTTCACAGTCTCCAAGATGTGTCTTAACGCGTTTATATCTCCGTTTCCACACACGTAAATATTTTAAAATTTAATATTAATAAAATATATAATATGACGAATTCAACAAGATTCCACATGATTAACATATAATCTCTTATAGATTAACGGGAATTTATGGTCAACGTTTTCAAAACTTGACCCAAATATTGACTATGAAAAGATCATTTGGAGACGGAAGAAGTATAGTATAATAATATTAAAATGTAACAGATGTAAGAAAATGAGATGTAAAACTGAAAAAGATGTAACACTTAAAAAAAAACATGGAGGGATTATATCATTACATTCCTTCATAATAGAGTCAATTATTGGATATTTATATAAACAAAAATATATAAATTAATAAATTCAATCAAAGATAATGTGTTTTAAAATAATATTTGCTGCTGGTTAGTGGATTTTGCCATCGGTTCTCTTTAACTTATTCTATGTAACATATCTTAGGAAATCTGAAGTACTGCTTCACTTATTGGTAGTCAATTAGTCATTCTACTTCACGAGAATCACGACCTTATTACTTATCTTTCCCGCCCCCACACTCACTTTGAAATTGACCCATACCAAATTCCAACCTAACAATGTAACATAGTTATGTAGCACCTTAATCCAACCTCAACAAAATAATAAGAGTATTACATGCAATTTCGGGTGGAGTTCCTTATCCTACTCCTCCCACTTTAAAATTATCTTGCCTATTTTTGAGAAGAAAAAAGGCAATTTCATTAATAAAATATAGCCAAACGGTAATTACATATAATTTCTAATAAATCAAGAATATCCCGCACCAGTACATAACACCTTAAAATTAAATAAATCAGAGATTCGATACGGAATCGCCTTTATAAAATCCTTCATCTGAAACAATACAATCTATAATTTAGCACCGATTCGCTTGAATTTCTCTGGTGAGTAGTAGTTTGAGTGAAAATACTAATGTGGTCCTCTAAATTCTAATGGAGATTATGAAACCCAAAATCTTCAATTTTTACCATACAAACAAGGAAAAATAAATAAAAACATGAGAAAAAAATAAAAACTTGCAATAGAGGCTAAACCCTAGAGGGAACTAAGAAAAACCCTCCCAATGAGAAACCCTAAAAGGAACGAAATAGATAATTATCTTGCGTATTAATCCTGACCAGGTTGATCTATATGATTTCTATTCGATAGGGCGTTTTTTTTATGTACCTATATATTTTTTAAAAATTGTGTAGTGCAATATGAGGCTGGTTGTGGATTTCCATACACTCCTCTCTCCATTACCAAGGAGTTGTATGTGCTCGCTAACGCAACATAGCTATGTTCAAATGTGAGAGATTCTTAATTGTTCGATGTGGCATCTTCTCCTTTTTTTTTTAAAACCAAATCTATCCATCTTGCTGGGTAAGTGGAGCCCAAATTCCATATCCCAACGTATTACATTTATAGGTTTCTAGAAAATTCTCGTATATTGAGAAATTTATGGAGAATTATAGAAGAATCTAGTATTAGTTAATGCTCGTGAAGGCTCTAGATTTGTGTGGAGAATTTAAAGAGCATGTGTAGAAGATTCCACACACTTCTTCCACCTCCATGCATCACCTATAAATATGAGGTGTTGGACATCATTTAGGAGCATGATTCCACCTATATATCTCCAATACTCCGGTACTATACACTTTATGAGTGTCCCTCCAAACTTATTGATCGGAGTTTCTACATACACACATTCTCCCTAATCCACTATCCTTATTTTGTACTACTCCTTCGCAACTTCCTATAGTGAGAGTTCTCTTGTAATACTCACCCTTTCAAGGGTTCTTGTACTCTCCTATTTTGGATTATTTTGGGTACTCGTCATCGTGGGTATTTTGATAATTTTTCCCACGTTAAATATTGTGTGTCCATTTCTTTAATACTTAGTTTGACTTCATCTATCTCCTAATTATTTATCAATTTTTACATCTTTAATTTGTTTCTGCTGTGCACTTTACAACCCTAACATTGGTATCAGTGCCAGGGTGATTAGAGTGATTACACATTAAAGATGTCTTCTCTTACGCAATTCGAGATTGATAAATTCGATGACAATATCAGTTTCTACATTTAGAGGATTCTTATGAAGGTCGTTCTTGATTGGAGCGGATTGGACGCTTGATGCATGGCATACATGAAAGCCATACCTGATAGTTTCATCATTCAACCTCGGTTTGGCGTTGCTTCCTTGTCAAACGAGTTCGAGTATCTGACAATTCTCTTCACCCCGAATGTTTATTGGGATTTCAAGTGACATATTACATACCTTTTCAGTTCATACGACGAGTACATGCATATGGAATTTGTTCCAAGGTGGAGATTGTTGGGTTAGTGTGGCCCAAATTCCATAGCCCAACTTATTACATCTCAAGGTTTCTAAAAATTTCTCGTATATTGAGAAATTGATGGAGAATTATGGAAGAATCCAAAATTGGTTAATGCTCGTGAATGCTCTAGATTTGTGTGGAGATTTTAAAGAGCATGTGTTGAAGATTACACACACTTCTTCCACCTCCAATCCTCCATATACCACCTATAAATATGGGGTGTTTGGCATCATTTGGGAGCATGTATCCACCTACATATCCTCCAATACTCCAATATAACACACTACATGAATGTCCCTCCAAATTTATCATGATCGGAGTTTCTACATGCATACAATCTGCCTAATCCACTATCTTTATTATTTACTACTCCTTTGTGAGTTCCTGTATATAGTGAGAGTTCTCTTGTAATACTCACTCTTTCAAGGGTTCTTGTACTCTCCTATTTTGGATTATTTTGGGTGCTCGTCGTTGTGGGGTGGGTTTTTTTTATAATTTTTCCCATGTTAAATAATGTGTGTCCATATATTTACTACTTATCTTGCCTTCATCTATCTCTTAATTATTTATCAATCTCTACATCTTTA